AGAAGTCAATTAAAATGAGCAGATAACAACATTAAGACGAGATTTTCAGATGCACCAAAATAAACAGGCTTAGGTTTGTGCCTTCTACAAATCTCTGAAGAATAAATTTCCACAAACCCTCATATACCTAAGGTAGATCATATACCTAAATGCTTATTTGCAGTTATAACCGGGACAAAATATCATGATGAAACAATGAAGGGAAAACTACACAGTTTAGCTGCTCCCTAAAAAAATAGCCGGCAAAATGTATATTTTTTGCATATTAATACATAATGTACATATACAACAACAACATACCCAGTATAATCCCACAAGTAGAGTACGCAGACCTTACCCTTACCCTGTGGAGGTAGGAGGTAGAGAGGCTGTTTCCGAAGACCTTTGGCTCAAGGACAAAATAAAAAGGAGCAGTAGCAACAAGCATATAATATACATATTTTTTGTTATTTGGCTAGCGGATGTAATTATTTTTGGTTAACTTGCCTAGGGGACCAAAAGAAAAGTCAAAACTAGAGGAAATGATATTCAGTGAACCAAAATTATACATACCAACTCTGGCAAGCCGATTCACCCATCCGGGAATTCCTTTCCCTGTTAGTCTTTGCGCTATGTCATCTGTGAAATGGTTACAGTTCTTGGAAATGAGGTGATAGGTGTCTCCGTGATACTCGGAAGCCATATTCTCAAGAAATGCTTGAAATTCAGAGGGAGGCATCTTAATACGACCCAATGGGATTGAACATCTGTAGATGAAACCAGGGCAGCTCTTAGGTTCCACTTCAAACACGCCACTTATGGGAAAGTCATGCGCTCCATATCCATATTCCATACCGTGGACTGCCAATAAGCAAAGAGAAATTCAAACTCCATTACTTCATAAAAAAAAAACGAGAAATTCAAACTCCAATCAATGAAGGTCATTTATTATGCTATATATAAGAGCTTTATGTGAATATATTCAGCATACCTTCGTTCTAAAATCCATACCCAAAATACAAGAGAACCTTAAAAGTTTATCCATGTCGAATTTTTTCTTCTTTTCTCTTGAAAAGAACATATCCAGTCAAAGAATTAAGTTCCTTTGATGACAAATAAGCTTGTCAGTTGTCAACCTATTCCAAGTATTAAGTTGAACATAATACTGCCATTAAAATTTGATATACGCATTTGATGTATCGTGAATAATCCAGACCGTATGACCAAGATAAGTGTATCTATTGTCTTGTATTTCTCAGTCATAATTATTTGGAATTCTATGTATAACAATATTGATATTTGATATGACTGTTGAATCTAAGAAATGACAGCTGGAGTTGAGAAGTGCGATAATTTGCATCTTTGGGGTTGGTACCTTTCAACATTTTCAATGTCTCAAAATGTTGGGAAGATGAAGCGACAAATAAGATATCTAAACACAATATTAGCAAAAAATGTTGTCCTTTAACGGTAATGCTTATACAAGCATGACCCTTTACAGTTTAATAATTCAGAAATTGTAGGAAAGAATGAAATGAGGGGAAAAACAAGTAAAACAGATGAGATCCATTACTACTAAAAGCATCTCAGTGTAGTTACTTTACATGGAAAGGGAAAAAAACAGATAACACGTAAAAGAGAGTTCCTCAATTGATTGCACACAACGAGCCCTTGCAACAACTTTAAAAGATAATGAGCCATATCATCTTTCATATAACACTGAAGAATAAATATCCACTAAAATGATCTTCTCCCCATTATACATGGATTATTCTAGTAAACTATTGTTTATTTTGGAAATGTTCCATGAGCTTAGTTAGAAAGCAACCAATCTTTATAAGGTATTCCTTTTACTCTCACCTATCTACTATGTTGCGCGGACTCTCGAAAATGCTGCCGCACCAATGTAAGATCCTCCAAAAAGGCACTACTTTTGGAAGATACGGCACGCATTGGGCGAAATTTTCGGAGAGTCCGAGCAACATAGCCTATTTGTCAAAAAGGATAGACTAAATACCAGCATCAACTTAAGTATGACCCTTGCAACATCTATGGCTTCATGCTTACCCTCTAAGCTGATAATTACTCAACACCACACGTATTACAGAACCCCCATTTATCATATATCTGTAAGCAAATTTACAAATGTTGTCTTTTGGCCCAACAGCAAGGAAAGTAACAACACATCTCTGACAAGAGCTAAACACCTCATCATCAACTTGATATTAGAAAGGTCACGAGAGCACTGATATCGGAATCACTCTCAAATAAATATTTTTAATAAGGAAAGTCAGCCTCACATTTTTTCTACCTTTCTCTTTTTTGCCTCTTTGTGGCACAGGGGTTTGCAGCTGAACTCCATTGAGATTTCTCATAGTATCAACAAGAAGAACTTCAACTTAACCAGGGGTAGATCGCGAATTTTAATTCAGTGGTGCAAAGTTCCCATTGCACTCACTACTTCAGTGACAATTGGTTCCGGACTTGACCACTTGATCTAAATACATAGTCTTTTCCACCTGCAGCTTTCTATAGACATCCAACCATAACCTTAACACTGAATAAAAAAGCTTCCACATTGAACGATAATAACATCTACGCCTCAATCCCAAACCAGTTGGGGTCGGCTATATGAATCCTTACTGACCATGTTTTTTTTCCATATAAACACATCTCAGGCCAATATTGTAAAAACCCCACTATAATTTTTTTTTGGACTATGGTAAAGCCCACCCCACCCCCACCCATGAGCTCAAAACTTGCTGCTAGTTGCTATACCTTCCTTATCACCAACCCCACAACAATATCCCAATAAAACACATCTAAATTCTAACAATAATAAGCAATATCAAAGAGAAATATCTAATTCCACACAGATAAAAAGGAATCTTTAAACAAAAATCTCCAAAAAGATCAAAGATTAAAATTTTCTAACCTTCAATACCAGAATGAAAGATTCCAAAGCCAAACCAAACAGTGTACTGATTAGCAGGGGTAAGATCATACACATTCAATATAACTGGTGACTCATAGCTGCTTCCATTATTATCATTATTTGCATTGTTATCATTTGAAGTGCTCTCTTCTCCCATTTGATGAATTTTTTGTGAAAAGGGAAATCTTGGGTTAGCAAAAAGATTGTATTTTTAGGTCCATTTTGTTAATAAATTTTTTAAAAAAAAATAGTTTTTGAAATTGGTTTGTGATTCTATTGAAATTTCTGTGAATAGGGGAATCTGGGGTTTGCAAAAAGATTGTATTTTTGGGTTCTTTTTTGGTAAAGAAATATAAAGTAAATAGCCTTTGAGATTGATTTGTGATTCTATTGAAATATCTGTGAAAAGGCAAATTTGGAGAGAGAGAGAGAGAGAGAGAGAGATTGGAACTTTGAAAATGGAATCATGAAAAGGGAAAGATAAGGGTAAATTGGGGAATGCACGTAGAGTAAGCTTAGATTGTTGCAATTTGCAAAATCATACAACAAAAACACAATAATTGAGTGGAGGGTCTACTGCGGCCAGAAAAAAATATTTAAAAAGTAATTAGAAACGATTTGTTTATTAAAGTTTCTAATTATTTAAATTTTCTAATTTTTAGGGAGCATTTTTTTTTGGTTATAACCATTTACATTTGGTACCCCTCACCCGACCAATCCAGATTTTTTACTGAGAATTTCTCTATTTTAAGGCTCGAACTTGAGATCCTGTTATGCTAAGTCACACTATGAAAGTTTGGGAGAGGGTAGTAGAAGTGAGAGTGAAGAGGAGTGTGTCTATTTTCGAAAATCAATTCTGATTCATACCGGATCGTTTGACTACGGAAGCCATTAACCTCGTAAGAAGATAGGTAGAGCAGTATAGGGGAGATGAAAAAGGACTTGCATTTGGTGTTTATTGACCTAGAGAAAACATATGATAAAATTCCATGAGAGACTTTATGTAGATATTTGGAAGCTAGAGATGTGCATGTAACCTACATTATGGCGATTAAGGACATGTATGATGTAGTTAAGACCCGGATAAGAAAAGTGGGAAGAGACTCGAAATGTTTCTCTGTTGTGACGGGGTAACACCAGGGATTGATCCTTAGCCCGTTTTATTTTTCTTGGCAATGGATGCACTGATGCAGCACATTCAAGTGGAAGTGCTTTGGTCTATGCTATTTGCACATGACATAGTTCTGATTGATGAGATGCGAGGTGGTGTTATCGAGAAGCTGGAGGTTTGGAGATAGACCCTAGAGTCTAAAGGTTTCAAGTTGAGCAGGATACAAAATACTCGGAGTGCAAGTTCAGCGAAGTAACTCAGGTAGTAGACATAGACATGAGGCTTGATACACAAGTCAATCCCCTAAGAGAGGAAGTTTTAAGCACCTTGAGTCACTAATACAAGGTAATGAGGAGATTGATGAGGATGTCAAACATCGTATCGGAACAATATGAAATAGAGGCTCGCATCCAGTGTCCTGTGTGATAAGAAGGTGTCACTAAGACTTGAAGATAAATTCTACGAAGTGGTAGTTAGACCAACTATATTGTATGGGGCAGAGTGTTGGTGAGACTAAGAACTCTCATGTCCAGAAAATAAAAGTAGTTGAAATGAGGATGTTGAGATGGATGTGCGGGCATACCATATTAAAAAAAATTAGGAACGAAGATATTTGAAAATGGGTGGGAGTGGCCGACGTGGAGGATAAGATGAAGAGGATGCTGAGATGGTTCAGGCACGTGAAAAGGAGAAGCACAAATGCCCTAGTAAGGAGGTGTGAAAGACCGAACTTGGTGGGTACGAGGAGAGATAGAGATAGACCAAAGAAGTATTGGGGAGGGGTGATTGGGCGGGACATGACTCAACTTGAGTTTAATGAGGACATGACACTCGATAAAAAGGTGTGAATATCGAGAATTATGGTAGAAGGTTAGTAGGTAGTCCAAAATATTCCAAAACCTTCTCCAAAATATTTATGATTTTTCTTTTTTACGAAAAGCTTAAACCAAAACAAACCGGTCCAAACGGGTACCAAGTAGCAAACAAACTCAAAAACGGGTTAGGCAAAAATATTTTCTAATTTCTACTTCTCTGTGAACAAAACATCGAATTAGGGTTTCGAAAATTGTCCAACGGTGATCGGAAAATTCCCAAATCAACCTCCGTCATCTGCCATATTACTGATTCCTCAGCTCATCACCGCCGTCCACTACTCCGATTTAGGTAAAGGTCACAACTTTCCTCCATTTCTTTTACTATTTCCCCTTTTAAAATTCATTAAAACTATTAGTAATTTAAAATGTTCTTTTCATGTGCACTATTCTCTAGTTTTTTTTTTTTTTTTTAATTTCTGTGTTGAGGAATTGAAGTTTTCTTTAGTATATATTAGTACTAATATCTAAGCTACAAAGAATTTAGCAGTATTATGTTTTTTTTTTATGACAGTGGTGTCCGGGCCAGCTTGAGTGCACCTTAACTATTCCACCAGGTACGACATACTCCCACCTATATAGGTGGGTAATTCTGCTCACTAAGGCTTGGAGCCTTGGACCGATAGGAAGAAATCACCCCGTGTTTTTTTACACCGCTGGTATTTGAACCCGAGATTTTATAGTTCTCCACCCACTTTATTGACAATTAGGTGACACCCTTGGGTGCATGTTGCAGTATTATGTTGGAAATGCTCTTATAAAAAATTTGTCATATCAATCTATGTTTTTTTCTATCCCATGGGATTTTGGAGATATCTAGGTTGACTTTTCACAATTGGTTGCTCATATGCAATTAAATGGTAAAAACTTAGTGTTTGCACCAGATCATTCTAATTTACCATGGTTAGTTCACAAATTAAGTATTAATTAACTATGATTTAGTGATAAGAGTGGTATGTGAAGATATGTGTCATATGTTCATTGAGTTGGTGTAAATACAAGGTGGGGGTAAGTTTTAGATTAGGGGGGTTAGGATAGGTGATTTGAATCGCCAAGGATACGGTGTGCAGCTGATTTTGTTCACTAATAATGAGCTTGAGTCGGCTGGGACTGGGTCACGTTTTTTTAAAGTCTGTACTCAAAGAGCAGCCAGGGGTTCAAAGGCAAAGGTATTACAACAACAACTACTACGTCAGTGCCAAACAAGTTTGGTTGGCAATATGAATCCTCTCTAACCATGTTACTCCATTTAAACTTATCTCATGCCAATATTATGCAAATCTAAATAAAAAGTATAAGGCCTGGATATTTTCTAAATGTATAAATTTCTGAAAGTCTAAACCAGTCTGAGAAAGCATAAGACCTATTGTAAAGGTGCTAACGGCTAAAACATATTCTCAAATAACATGTATCGTTTATATAGATCTTTTTCTTCCATTGTGTCCTATCTTTTGTTAAGTAGGGCAAAAGGTATTACAACGCCAAAAATTTGCGGAATGCTCTCGAAACCGATTAACTTGAGTGAGACAAGGAGAGTGAAATTTCATGTGTAGGGTTAAAATCCGGAGATCTACGAAGGAATGCCAAAAGCAAAGGCAGCTCTCTAGGTCCTTATTGATGTGATAGCCTGGGGAGCAATCATAATAAGATATCTTGGTAGTCCATGCTGTGTGTGTTCTCGCTGGATGTATGGTAGACACATGTCATGAGTTCGAAGCCTAGTTGGCGAATCAAGGCTGGTATTTAACTCGAGGATTAGTAGTTTAATTTATTTTCTTTGTAGGAAATATCAATCAGTCAATCACTACAAATCCCTTATTATTGGAAATATAGAAAGCAAAACTTTGGTTTTTATCTTTAATGTGGATCAAGCATTTCTCTAATTCTACTAGATTCTATGTCCTGAAGATCTTTAGTGGGAGTATCATATGATTTGGATTATGCAACAGGTCATAACCTCACAGTCCATTGCATTTATTCTATGTTCAGCTTTGCGACGTTATTGCTTGCCGTATTCAAAATATATTTAGTTTCAATCTGTGTCGATTTCGTGGAACATATGAAGTAATTTCATTTGTTTGATTAAATTCCAGTCTACCGATCTGTTCAACAACTCGTAGTGATCTCTTTTATAGCCAACTGATGCATAAAAGAATAGGCATGATATTATGTTTTCGAATGGGATTTTTGCATTATGTCCAAGGAACTGCTCTTTTCAATTTTTTCTTATCAAAAATTATTCTTTCATTTTATTAGCACATATGTTGAGTCTGATGACATTAACCTTCCTAGTAACTAGGTCGAGAAAAGTCATATTTTTTAACCTGCATGTTTGCAAACATTTTCTATTAGGACCTTTTTCACCCTATGCTGATTAAGCATCTAACCATTTTGGCCTTTGCTGATCAAGGCTTGAGAGGTTTCACGAAAGATTTGTGCATTTTCAAACTCATGGCTCATGCTAATGCAATTGCGTGTTGAATATACAGGTTTGGATGCATTGGCTGCTTTCCTCAGTTCCTTCACATGTCAACTCCCAATAAGCTAAGTTGGGACTTTAGCTGTTTAAAAGTGGAGATTCCATAAATTGCTATTTCATGGAGGATGAAATTTTTTTTGTTGGCCAAGAGTTTCCTGACGTCAAGGCCTTGCGCAGTGCAATTAAAGAGGCTGCTATTGCACAACATTTTGAGCTTCGCATAGTAAAAAGTGACCTGATTCGCTACAGTGCAAAATGTGCCTCAGATGGTTGTCCGTGGCGTATTCGTGCAGTTAAGCTTCCCAATGCCCCTACCTTTACTATAAGAAGCCTTGAGGGAACACATACCTGCGGAAAAAATGTACAAAATGGACATCAGGCTTCTGTTGATTGGATAGTGAACTTCATAGAGGAGCGTTTGCGTGACAACATAAATTACAAGCCAAAAGACATTTTGCATGATATTTATAAGCAGTATGGGATAACTATACCATACAAACAAGCATGGAGGGCAAAGGAACGAGGGCTGCAAGCTATATATGGCTCTTCTGAAGAGGGATACTGTCTATTACCTACATATTGTGAACAAATCAAGACGACAAATCCTGGAAGTTATGCTGAGGTTTTTACAGCTGGTTCAGAGAGTCGGTTTCAGAGGTTCTTCATTTCCTTTCATGCTTCTCTTCATGGGTTCGTGAAGGGTTGCTTGCCTGTTATTTGTCTTGGTGGTGTCCAGCTTAAGAGCAAATACTTAGGTACTTTATTATCCGCCACTTCTTTTGATGCTGATGGTGGAGTATTTCCGCTTGCCTTTGGTGTTGTCGATGAAGAAAATGATGATAGCTGGATGTGGTACTTGTTAGAGTTGCGCAAGGCATTAGAGATGAGCACTGAGAAGATATCACCTCTTACATTTCTGTCTGATGGACAAAAAAGTATTGCAGATGCTGTGAAGAGGACGTTTTCCTCTTCTTGTCATGCAATTTGTGTGCAGTATCTGAGTGAAAGCATCAGTAAAGAGTTCAAGAATTCAAAGCTTGTTCAACTCCTCTGGAAAGCCGCATATTCTACGTCCACCACGGGGTTTAAAGAGAAAATGGCTGAAATTGAGGAGGTTTCTTCAGATGCAGCGATGTGGCTTCAACAGTATCCTCCTTCGTGCTGGGCTTTAATACATTTAGACGGAACAAGATATGGTCATTTCTCTTCGAACATTAATGAGTTCAATAAATGGATTCTTGAAGCGCGGGAGCTTCCTATTATTCAGGTGATTAAACGGATTCACAGTAAGTTAATGGAAGAGTTCGAGCAGCGGCGGTCAAGGAGTAGTACATGGAGTTCAACCCTTGCTCCATCTGCTGAGAAGCGCATTATGGAAGCAAGAACTCTTGCTGCTAAATATAAAGTGTTAAGGTCAGATGAAGTTGAATTTGAAGTTCTCTCAGCAGAGCGGTCAGACATTGTGAATATAGGATCCCGAACTTGTTCTTGCCGTGATTGGCAGTTGTATGGGATGCCGTGTTCTCATGCTGTTGCCGCTCTTGTATCATGTAAAAAGGATGTGTATGACTTCACAGAGAAATATTTCACTGCAGCTAGCTACCGCGAGAGTTATAGTAAAGAGGTACACCCCATCTCTGATAAACTTGAATGGTCGAGAGCCCGATTAGTGCGGCCACCCAAGTGTCGTCGACCACCTGGACGACCTGAAAAGAAGCGGTTATGCGTGGAAGATCATAACCGTGAAAAGCATACTGTCCGTTGTGGTAAGTGCAATCAAACTGGACATTACAAGACAACCTGCAAAGCGGAGGCTGTTTAGAGTACACAGCATTCTAGATGTGTAGCCCCCCCGGACCAGTTTGGCGCACAGCTTGAAACTCGATGGATAATGGACCTGTCCCTCTATCTTTCTTCACTTAGGTATCGCCCGTTCCCGAAGTTTTTCAATATTTTATTTTTGGTTCCTTCTTTCTTTGAGGTAGAATTAGTAAATATTGTAGAAAGGTATAAGATAAGAGGTCTCAACTAGCTTTATGTATGTCCAGGCATTCTAGGCCATTCAGATACTGTAAAATAGGGTTGCTTGTTGTGCCCAAACCTCAATGTAACTTTTAACTGCAAAAGTTAAATTACCTAAACTGGGTGCGTGTAAGTATTTACCCTAGTGATGGTTGTGAGGTAATGTTCTCTGTGATTTATTTGGTTTCTGATATCGAAAGAAAATGCTTTGTTATCCTTTTTTTCCGTGGGTATAATCATAAAACTCTGATCAATACTTTCTGGACAAATTGCAGGAAGTTTATTGACAAAAATAGTGATTTGCATAGCTGTTATCTTAGGGCTCGTTTGATACGAGGGATCGGGGATAATTGATCCCGTGATTAAATTTGAGATGAGTTTATCTAATGCTTGGTTGGGATAAAATTGCGTTATAACTAATCCCGGGATTGTAGTATTTTCTTTATCCCTATGGGAGGGTGGGATAACTAATCCCAGGATAATTAATTCTGAGATAACTTCTTTTCAACCAAAATGACACCTATACCGTAGCAAGAGCCTAGGCAATACATTTTTAACATCTTTATTAGTTGCAATTAATGAAAACCATAAATATAAATTAAATTAACGTATTTAACAAATCATCTTATACAATTTCACGGCTATGTTAAAAGCGTCTAAATTAATATGCATGAAATAAATTACTAATATAACAAACTTTATGGCACATATCTGGCAGTTTCTTCAGAGAGTAAATTACTGTTAGCAATGAAATAAATGCAGAATGTTACTAGATAAAGTTTTGTTTAATTCAGTAATTATAATAAAAACTATCAAAATTTTAATGTCTGAAAAAGAAACTTCCCTTTCATGCCATAAAAGTGAAGGTTTTTATGTTTGTTTTTGAACTTGAAACAAGCTCTCTCAATCTAAACTATCAAGTCTTTAAGTTATACATATATATTGGTTGTGTAAGATATTTTTATTTTATCAGTGTAATTTAATCTGTTATATCGGGAAGAAAGATAGAAATTTTAGTAGCATGGAGCCCCTAGCTATTGTTGCTTTCACAGGAGGAATGATCGGACAAATAGGGATTCTCCTTTTTTGGTGTCGACCTATTTGCAATTGTCTATGGAGATTTGTTGATTGTCTCAGAAACCCAAGACCTCTGCCTCCTCAAGCTGAAATTAACGCAAAGATCTTCAAAGGTTTGAAAGATCGATTTCATCCTTAAAACAGATCAGAAATGAAGTTAGATGCAAATTTCGAACAGGTTCTGTGATGTCAACTGAACTCGCTGCTTTCGCTTGAAGTTATTCATATATGCAATAAAAAGAAAAGTTTAATATGTATACATATAATAAGATTGTAGTGTTTCTAACCAGTGACACTAGATCAGTGACATTCGAAAGATTTTATGCAAGTGATATCGAGTTTTGTCACAATTTGACTTGTAAGTGTGTTACTTTGTGTTTAAGACTATATCGACTTCAAGGAGGATGTTTTACTTTGTATTACTTTCAAGTGGTATCAGAGATATATTGTTCAAGAAAAAAAATATATTTTTAGATAAAATATATTTTTATGAAACGATGGCAGATGACACTCCTTTTTAATCGGAATGCGTAGTTTGAGATTAATTTTTGGAATATAATTGACCACCACTATTCTACTTTTGGCTTATATAAGATTTTGTCTTTTGACTATTTCAGTTGAATTTAACCTGATTTTATTTTATTTTTCTGTAACATACTGTACAATAAGACCTTTTTATAACAATATCGTTATATAACAACCATTCACTATAAAAGTCAAATTTTTTGGAACCAATTTTCATGTTATGTTATAATAGATGTTCTCTACAACAACACTTCGCTATAACAACTATAAAAAATCTGAAACAAACGGGGCTGTTATAGAGAGGTTTGACTGTACTCTACTAATTATGCAAAAATCCATTTACATTTACATGTTTGTCTTTTATTTTTTGATAATTACATATTTGTCTTTTAAGTAAGACATTGTGTTCTGTAACTTCAAGAAATATAATTCAACAACTTTTCAAGAAAAAAAGACATTGTGTTCTGTAACTTCAAGAAATATAATTCAACAACTTTTCAAGAAAAAATAGTGAAATTTCACTTGGGGTAGGAGAAATTAAATTACAAGGATATAAAACATAGTAGTAGATTAACAATAGTGATGTGTAACATCCCATTTTATTGGAACATTAACTACTAATAACAATCTTATAATAATTTAAATTACAAGGATATAAAACATTGCTTGGACTCTACGAGATGTTGTCGGGTGCGTGTGGGATTCTCCCAAAGCAGTATATTTTTGGAGGATCCGATACAAGTAAAATAATATTTTGGAGAGTTCGCGCAACATAGAAACACACTGCATGCATTACTCATAATTTTTAGCTTCAAGTGCGGCAACAGCAGACACAATCTAAGCAGCTCTCGCAAGTTTCGTAGCAGCAGAAACAGCAACATAGCGTGAACATGCTGCAATTTTTAAGATTTTTGAATTAAAAAAAAAAAAAAAAAAGAGAGAGATTAGAACATGAATACATATATATATATAATCAGTCAACTATGCATCAATTTCAAATTACTTCGTGTGAGTTAAATTTGGTATTCATATAAATTCACCATATATAGTTACACTATATTTAAACTAGTCGTCGATGTACTGGAACCATGGTGCACCACCGGCTTTAACGTAAAGTCCAACAGGATTCGATCCCTTGTCCTTGGGGAAATAAAACAACCATCCAGTCAATGCACCACCACTTAACTTTATACAGCATGGGTTCCCAAAGATAATATTAGACAATTTTTATAAATTATGTACATGAAAAAATTGATTTGCTGGGAAGACCATGGGTTCACGAGAACGCCAATTTATAGAGCAGTGAAAATCACTAAAACTTTAACAAATATTAAATACGAAATTGTAGTTTCATAAGTAATGAGTTTTTTATACTATAAAATTGGAGCATGAATACTTATATAAATCAGTCAACTATGCATTAATTTCAAATTAGTTCGCATAAGTTAGCTAGTGGGTTGGGCCGAATCCGCTCTCGACACACTAACTCCGCCCCAGTGCACCATCGGCTTTAACATAAAGTCCAAGAGGATTCGATCCCTTGTCCTTAGGGAAATAAAACAACCGCCCAGCCAATGCACCACTTAACTTTATACAACATGGGTTCCCAGAGATAATATTAGACAATTTCTATAAATTATGTACATGGAAAAATTGATTGGTTGGGAACAGGGACGAAGCTACATTCACTTAAGGGCGATCAATTGACCACCCTTCGTTGAGAATTACACGGTATATATAGGTAAAATATTAAGTTTTAGAGGTATATAACTTATATTGAACAACCTTTGTCGGCAAATTTTTTCCACTTCGTTCAAGTTTGAACACCCTTGGAAAAATTTCTGGCTTCGCCACTGGTTGGGAAGACCATGGCCCCTGAAGTGTACTACGAGCTAAACTGAACTAGTATTCTCAGCAATCAGCGTGGAACATAGATATATACGTGAAAAATTACTAAAATTTCAAAAAATATTAAATTCGAATTTAAACTATAGTTTCGGAAGTAACGAATTTAGTATACTATGAACTTTAAAGATTAAACATATTAAATTTAAATCTTGAATTCATCCCTCTATAAATAAAATTGCTCGAAAACATAAAAATAATAATAATAATAATAATAATAATAAAATAAAATAAAATGATGAGAGTTAAGAAAACAAACCAAGCATAGAGGCATCCCTTTTCTTCTCGGCGCCTTTGGACATGATCATAATATGACATATTTTGATATTTTGGAGGAGAATTCATTTTCTTTCTTTCTTTTATCTGTGTTTTTTCCCACTTTGATTTCTTTGTGTGAAGAGAAACGGAAGATTTTGCCTAAGATAAAGTATGTGAAGTTGATGAGAATATAAATGGACTAGAGGTGGATAATCAATGATCACTTATAGCTAGGGCCTAAAGAAAGTAGATGGTAAGTTGTCTAATTAATACTTAAAGAAAGTAGATTGGTGGTTGTCACACCTCCTTTTTTTACACACCTACCCCCGAATGATAGTGTATAAGGGAGTTTTTCCATTTAAAGTGACATTATTCGAAATGGGATTATTTATTTATTTTTCAGAGTCGCCACTCGGAAAAGGACAGGTTTTTGGTGTCCCGAGTCACCGATTTAGTTTAAATCCCAAATCGAGGAAAATTTCGACTCCCAATTGGAGTCTGCGAACCAGAGATTCTGTGTAAGGAATTCTGTTGACCCGAGGGAAGGTGTTAGGCACCCCCGGGTCCCGTGGTTCTAGCACGGTAGCTTAAATTATTATAATTGGCTAAAAATCTGATTTTTAATACATGTTTTAACTTATGCGCATTTTAAATTAAAAACCGCTTTTATTTATATTTCTTATAAGACTTGCAACATCGTAAAAATGTATCTCAAACCACGTCGCACCAGTACGCCCGTGATTTTTGGCACATTTCAACCTTGTTGAGATTTGGATTTGGGTCACATAAATGTGCACCCGTAGTTAGGAAGGTAAGATTATTAAACTACCGTGCATAAAGTAGTTTTGTATTTGCAATTTGCGAGGGCCATGAAAATTCGCTAAATGGCACGCCTCGATTTCTAAGGATAGACAAGATTAATTAAACGAGGGCCATTCAATTGTCACTTTTGTTTGGCATGACGCGCCTTAATTCCAAAATAACAAGGTGGCCAAATTAAGCTTCCGAGATTTTAATTAATAAAACTATTGACCAAGATTATTTAAGCAGGCACTCGCGATCCACACTTCAAGTAATCAGGTGATACAAGGGCAGTGACGAAGCACTGGGCCAATTATTAAAGGTCCAGGGTATGAATTCAGCCCAAACGTGACCCAGGGAAACGGGCCTCAGATTTGTACTTTGAACGAGACTGCATCTTGAACCCTTGAAGGGCCCAAACTTGTTTTAATTTAGAAAATAGTTTCCACATGCTTACGGCCCACACAAAAGTCATCTCAATTTGCACAAAAGCATGCCCAGGGATTTTGTAAACAAATTTGCACAAACGCTATCAATTTTATTCAAATATTCAATTTGATTTTTTTTAATCAAATTGATATCAAAATCAAACTATGTTCAATTATATAGCGTTTGATTTTGATAATTTACAGAATAGCGTTTGAACATAGTTTGATTTTGCAAATTGATTCACTAGATTAAAATGAACTTATAAAGATATAAAATTAAAATAGAACTACCAATTAAAGTCCATGATCTGTTTGTCCAAAGAAAGGTATACAACTCCTATTCGTGTACTCTCTAATTATACCATTTAATCATAAAAAAAAAAGTTTAAACACAAATATAGAACCAAATCCATAGCATGCTAAGCCAACTATCTAATGCCTAATATTGGAGGCTCACATATAACGTAATACAAAAGAGGAAACAGAAACAGAGGTTGAATCGAAATGCAATTTGTATTCCATCATAGTCACTGAGTTACATGATTAGCACTTAGTCATGGTTCATTGGGCTAGGAAAGATACCTGGAAATAAGAATAGAAAGAGGTGAGTTTCAGCAGTAGACAGCAACTAGAACCCAGATTCAACACACCAGAACAGAGAATTTAGCCCACAATCCCACAAATTGCAATACTCAAATAGCTTGAACCAAAAATATCTCGGAAGACCCAATAAAACAGTAACTCGAACAGCAAAACTCCAAACCAGCTTGGAACCAAATTCAAACCATCTCCAATACTTCAAAATCAAGGAGTGTCTCAACAACAACAAATTAGAAATTTTAAAATTAGAAAAAAAAAAACTAAAGTCAATGAAAAATGAGAAATTCTCAACCGTGATTGTTTTCTTCAGATTCTTAGCTCTCTCCTTTTTTTTACTGTTTTAGATTTTCTCCTTCTACTGTTTCCAGATTTCCTCCTCCTCTTTAATCAATACTAATGGTCTATATATACACTCTTATGGCAGATTTTTGCCTAGCTATTTAATCCCTTTTCTACCCCTCTTTTTTATCTTGTTTTACCCTTTTTACCCCTCTAAAATATCTAAAATCTGTTCACCCCTAACAGAAAAATATTCTCTTATTCTTCTACGTACCTTCTTCCTAACAGATTTGATCCCTTTTTTTAATCTAAAATCCCTAAACTACCCTTGAAATATTCTGAAATTTACCAAATCCTAAAAAACTACCCTTTACCCATGCCTATACTACCCTTTTACTAGTCTAAAATTACCAAGCTAGACTAAAACTATCAGCTATAACCAAATCAATAAGCCTACAAGAACATTAAATTAATTATAATAACAGAAAATGCTAATTTAATTAAACAATACCTAAACAAATTTAAAACACAAATATTAAACAAACAATTACTGATATTCAAATTAAAACTTAATTATGAACTAAATTAATTACTAATACTAATCAACTACTAAATAAATCAATGATAACAATTTTAAAGAAAATTACTACTAATTTTCAATCTAAAGTAAAACTAACTAAAAACTTAAAGACAAACAAACAAAAAAGAACATAAAACAGAACACAAAAAATGAAAATCAGAACGAAACAATCAAACAAAACAAAAAAAAAAAAAATAATAAACAACAAAAAAAAACGGAATAGAAGCAAAAAAAATGAGAAAAAGAAAAAAAAACAGAATAGTCACAAAAAAAAAAAATTAAGAATAGGAAAAAGGAAAAGGGAAAACTCACTGGTTTTGGTATCTAGAGGCGGCCAAACTTGATTCGATCCCCGGACACGCGAATCTTTTTTTTAAGATTCTTGACCCGTAATATACCTAACCATGTGTCTTCACAAGAAGACACCTGGTTAAGGATATTAGGGTCGAGAATCTCAAAGATTTTGAACTAGGGTTTCGTTGGTTTTAGATATAAAATTCAAGTATTTCGGTTAAGTTTTGAAGGTTGTTGTTTGGAGATTTGGAATGAGGAGGGTGAGGGGAGTGTATGGTGTTAATTTGGTTGAGTTTGGAGAAGGTAGGGTTTTGGCCGGATTTTAGATTTGAAATCCGAGCATTTTGGTTGTGATTTGAGGGAAATTAGGTTGGGGGTTGGAAAGAGGAGGATGAGAGGATTCCATGGTGTATTTTTGGGTTATTTGGAGCACCGCCGCCGGCGGAGGCGATTTCCGGCCGGCGGCGGGCGGCGGCGGAAGGCGGGAGGGGGCGGAGATGCGGTGGGGCTGTGGAGGTGGGGATTTCCGGTGGGGAAGGGAGTGGGGTGTGAGAGAGATGAGTGAATGGGGGGTGGGGTATGGTTAGGACATATATATATTAATTGATGGTTGAGTTCCGGATCGTTGGATCAAAATAGATCAAAGGTTGAGATTAACACCAACTAAACTACGTCGTTTTGGGGTTGGGGGTGCTGGACCGGATCAGGGATGTTTGGGCTGGGTCTTGGCCGAATTTTGGGTCCTCTTTTGGGCTAGAATTGTATTTTGGCCCAAATTTTGGGTCCTTTAACAAGACCAACTTTATTAATTCTTTTTCTTTCTTTTTCTCTTTTTGTATTTATATATATTTGTTTATTTATTGCTTATGCTAAAACAAGGACATAATTAGACTATGTATTCCCTAAAATATTCAAAACTCTATTTTTGCAATTTTCTTTTTATTTTAAAACTAAATTAATACCTAATTAATACTAGAATTGTGAAATTAAATGCCTAAATGCAAAAAATGCAACATATTTTGTATTTTTATGAATTAAAATGCTACACATTTTTTTGTATTTTTATGAATTAAAAATGCAAATATTTTTTTTAATTTTTTTTTTATTGGAATAAATGCGCAACACAAAATGCAATCAAGACACCAAAATTATGGCAATTAATTCCTAGAAAACAAATTTAAAGGGAAATTCTATATTTAAATGGATTTGTAGTTAGAATTTAAACATGAAAAATCACGATTGCTCACAAACTTGCCCCTCTTTGCTACTAAATGACAGTGAAGAGTTTTCAGGCAAAGATAAATGAGCAACATGAGTGGATTTTTCCCAGGTTCCTTCTTCCATTGAGAAGCATTTTGAAAATCGTCTGACCGAACCCGCGCTTCAAGGTTGCTACATATTCCTTGGCTATAAAGGAATCAAGTCCAGTGTAGGTTCTGGAGTGCTTGGTAGTCTGGGACTACCAGGAAACTTGTGATTTCACTTGATGTGTGGCTGGCTTACCGGCTTGCATGACCCCTTTATTACACCAAAAGAGGAAAATCAATGGCTAAGCTAGCTATGCCTATCAACTATGAGTTACAAGATTCGTATCTATTAATTGTCTTGAAAACTTGATCTTGAGTCTTAGCTGATTTTGCTCATGTGGATCTCGATTCTGAATCTTGAGCTCGCAAGTTGTAGGTGTTTTTTACTTCTTCAATGCACATGGTCAAGACAGGATCAACGGAGCTTCGTACTTCCAATCATTGATTTTAGCAATACCCACCCTTGCTGCTTCTCATTTGAGTTCATTGTTCTGTTTGTTTTTTTTTCTCTTTTCTTGACTTCTGGATTGAGATTTAATTCCATGGGTCATCTCACACCTTGTTGTCTTGAGGTGACGCTATGTGATACCAAACACAAACAATACGAACGGAAAATTTCTGACCCAGTTTCACTAATGAAATTTACGTGGTTTAGTTGTAACACATATCCTAATCAATCAATTGTGGAATGTGTAAAGGATCCTCGTTTTGTTCGGATTTTGGAAAGAAAAAGCTCCACGGTTTTTTCGGGAGAGTCCCTCGTTTTTGTCCAGATTTGGAAGAAAAAGCTCCACGGTTTTTGAGCCGGGAGATCCTCGGTTTTGTGCCGGGAATTTTGGAAAGAAAAGTTCCAACGATTATTTGCGCCGTGGAGATACCCTCGTCTTTTGTCCGGGATTTTGGAAGAAAAGCTCCACGGGTTTTTGTCCTGAGATCCTCTCGGTTTTGTGTTCCGAGGATTTTGGAAAGAAAAGGCTCCACGATTTTTGTTGCCGGAGATTCCCTCG